CGTTATGTTCGTCACTAAGTATGCTTGAGGCTATTACGAGTTTACCTTAGTCGATAAACGCGAACGAGACAATTATCAACGTCCAGGTAGGCTACCTTGAATCCCAAAGTAAAGTAAGAAAGCTTTGTAAGCGTAGAAAGTATATTCTACAGACACTCATCAATCACAGTACAATCAAGTATACAACTCTCGTTTATTTATACATCATAGAAATGTCCTTGGGACAGTTATGAAAATAGCGCACTAAAATACACAGCAACCAATCACAGCCAAGGATGCTCCTGGTGGGAACTGATCAGTCCATGCTGGCAAAATTGAAATCCAAAATAAGGCATTTATCAAGCGAGTTTTGGGGATCTAACATCCCCCAAGGACGTTTCTATGATGTATAAATAAACGAGAGTTGTATACTTGATTGTACTGTGATTGATGAGTGTTTGTAGAATATACTTTCTACGCTTACAAAGCTTTCTTACTTTACTTTGGGATTCAAGGTAGCCTACCTGAACGCTAGTTCATTGTCTCGTTCGCGTTTATCGACTAAGATGAACTCGTAATAGTTTCAAGCAAATCAAGTGAAGGGCATAACACTTTCACAAACCTGACAACCTAGATTTCATCATCATCAAGATGTCTGTACAATCGAATCGTCCCCCCCCCCCCCCGCCCCCTTTCAATAATTTAAAACCAAAAACAGAACAACTTACCGGTAGCTTTATGTCCAATAGTTAAAATACAACTATCTTTTCCATTTAACACTGCATTTAAAGCATCATTAAGAGCGATTGAATAAAATTCACGCTACAAATTGTATTTTTTTGATTTTTGATTTTTGAAAAATAAAAAAAGACGATACAAAAAAATTATTTGAAAGGTGTGTTTATTATGAATTAGTTATTTTTGTTTTAAATGAGAAAATATATGAGACGATACAAAAAAATTCTAGAGTGAATCTCTGCTAGTCAGTCAGTCAGTTTCAACGTAGAACTTCGTACGTATGTACATCAGTGCATGTTTCCATACCATATTAGCACAGAGGTGTAATTGTCAATTGAAATCCGATAGTAGTAGTAATAGTAGAAGTACTACTGGTAAACGAGATATTGTTGAAGAAGTATAATTCAGTGAGATAAGTTTAGAAAGTCAAAACTAGAGGGGTTGAAGGATTCAGAAGATTAGGATTTGAGAGAACACAGAGAATAAATGCACCGGCGCCACAGCAGACGGTTTTGAGCCATATCATTCAAGGTCTCTAACCATTGGTGACTTTCGTCTCGTGGACCCCAACCAGATAGCCTACATCTACCAACATGACTCCACTTTTCAGTGACTTCATGGATTTGTGATATGTTGCTGTTTGTTCACCCCTATCTTACTTCCGACCTCCTCCTACACCACAAAACATAGCTCGTCGAGGCAGTCAGTGGTTAGGCATTCGTAACACATGTCCCAACCAACTCAACTGATGAAGTTACATCACTTCATCTGTTGATCTGCCATCCTTACCTAGTACTCGCTTCCCAATGGCAGCATCGCTTACTCAGTTGTCCGACGATACACGAGCAATGTTTCTAAGATATCTATGATTAAATACTAGTAACTTACGAAAATATTCTACTCTTACTGGCAATTTTTCGCATCCATGTAGGAGAACGGAGTGAACTACTGAGCAGTATACTCGTCCTTTGCTCAGTGAATTCGTATTCATTAACAACTGAATGACTACGTTCAAAACTGTTCAGTATTGAATAGTTTTATATAATGTTTAAAATGTGCCAGTTCAAGACAAGAGAAAATCAACAGAATGTGAGAATCGACTATTAAATTTGTGACTAAACATATCTACAAAACTGTGGTGTTTGAATGAACTAGTAACTTCTTGTTGTTGTGAAATGCTTGATTTCGAATTCTAAATACAATACATTCGTTTGTGCAGTTCTTTAATTCTTGATTCATATACTTCTAAACATCACAGTGGCGTCGCGATGGAACTTGTAATGGAACAGCTAGATATTCATTCTACTTCTGAAGCTTTTGAAGATTATTTGGAAAGGTTTGAAATCTGGAGTATGACCAGGAAAGATGTCAAAGATGATAAAATTGTGGCTCATTTCCTAACATTCATCGGAAAAGAAGCATACAGCTTATTGAAAACCTTGGCATATCCAGAAAAACCTATTTCACTTCCCTATGCAATGCTTAAGGAGTTATTATTGAATCATGTAAAGTGCCCTGGTTTTGAATGCCGTGAAAGAGCGAAATTTCATAAGATGATTCGTCAAAATGACCAAAATGTTAAGGAATTCATTCTTGAATTGCAGAAACAGGCTGTCAAATGTAATTTTGGTGATCAACTTCATGTGCAGCTGAGAGACCGATTAATTGCAGGAATTAACATACCTAGTTTGGAAAGAGAGCTGTTAAGAATGTCAAACTGTTCCTTTCAAGATGTTAGAACTGCGTGCATTAACTACGAGGCGTTGAATGAACTTGATATTCAGTCGATGAAGATTTCCAATACTTTGATTAGTTGTCATGATGAAAAACAATCTCAGGGTCAATCAAAATTGTGTTCGTTTAACAGAGGTTCCGATTCTCGTGTAAAAATGAACAGTGTCTCAAAAAAGAATTACAAAGGAAATCAAAAAGGTGAGACCAAGTTTGGCAAATGTTTATCATGTGGAAAACTTCATTCTCGTTATTATTGTACATTTCGTAATGCTAAATGTTTTAGATGTGGTAAGATAGGGCACATTCAAGCAGTATGCAAAGCTACTGTTCATTTTGCCTCAAGTAGTACTAAAGCTTGTAATTTAGATCCCAATAATTCAGCTGATCCTAATGATCATTTATCTTTAACTACCGTTTCAAAAGGTAATGCTCATATTCGAAAGCGACTATATACATCGCTTGGTTCATGTCATGACTTTATTGTGGACACAGGCAGTATAGAGTCCATTATTTCACTCAAGAATTTGAAATTGTTAGATCCGAACGTTGTGATACGACCCACTGATGTATCAATATTGGGGATTACTGGACACAGACTGCCTATACGAGGATGTTGTGAATTGCTAATAAGAGATGATAATTCCTCATACATACCATGTGAATTCTTAGTTAGCGAAACGGGACTGTCAATACTGGGTTTAAAGAATTTGAAAAGGCTTAAAGTGGAGTTGTCTCTCCTAGTTTCTAAAGAAAATTCTGATGCTTTACCTAAAGATTCGATAGCCACGTGTGCTAAGTGCAGTGGAGGTATGAAAACTGCTATTGATTCTATTGCCGCCTCAACATTTAATGAGCTGGAGAGGGGAGTAGATACCTTTCTACTGCAATATAGAAATGCCAGACATTCAGTGACGAAAGAGACTCCATCAAAACTATTAAAAGGAAAAATTCTTCGGTCGAATATGAGATGTTTGGAGTCTGCAGAAGTTACATATTATCGTGGCAATGATCTTCGACCATCCACGGGGATTGTTCTGAAGAATGTCGGGAAATCTATAGTGCGACTTCTAGATATCAATGACTTAAGTACACACAATCGACATGTTGATCAAATACAATTCCAAGAACCAGGTGAGTCTGTTCCAATTTCGGTTGTTAATTCTAATACTAATGAGAGCATTCTAGATAATACAGAGCCTTTATCCAATACACTGTCGGACAGACACAGGATGAATTTGAGAAGAAGACGTACAATTGATTACAGACATATACATTCCAATTTAAGCTGCGGCGGATGTGGTGTTTGAATGAACTAGTAACTTCTAGTTGTTGTGAAATGCTTGATTTCGAATTCTAAATACAATACATTCGTTTGTGCAGTTCTTTAATTCTTGATTCATATACTTCTAAGCATCACAAAAACTTTAACATTATTGAAATTTCAGTAGATAATCAATCAGTCTTGTTTTCCCGACTTTACTTTTAGTGAACGGTCAGATCTGTGTTGACTTTATCTTATCACTTAACATCTCAACAGTATACATTCAATTTTAAATAACTCAGATTATTGATTCAGTTACTATTTCAACCGGTTGGACTTCTATGAACACATTAAAAAGATTCAGTCAGTCAAATGTCACATAGAGCTCGGTACGTATGTACATCAATTAACATTTCCATACCATATTAGTTGTCAATGACTTGATGGATTGGTGCCCCGTTTCGGTTTGGCAACCTCTAGCTTCCTTCTAGCCTACTTCTACACCAGATAACATTGCCCGTCGAAGTAGTCGGTGATTAGGCATACAAAACACATGTCTTAACCACCTCAACTGATACGGATTCACTCCTTCATCCATTGATTTGCTATTCATATCTAGTACCAGTTTCTCAGGTCCAGCATTACTTACTCGATGGTCCCAGGATCGATTACTAGTAACCCACGAAAATCCTTTATTCTCATTGGCGATTGTAAATGATTTTGAGCTATGTCATTCAAGGTCTCTAACCATCGGTTACTGTCATCTCCCGGACCCAATCAAGCTAGTCTACACTTACCAACATGACTCAGTCCACTTGTCAGTGACTTCATGGATTTGTGCCATGTTTTCGTATGGCCGCCCCTATCTTTCTTCCAACCTACTCCTACACCACAAAACATAGCTCGTCGAGGCAGTCGGTAGTTAGGCATAAGTAACAAATGTCCCAACTACCTCAACTGATAAATATTCGTTTAGGATATTCATCAAATATCCTGAGAGAATTATCTTTGTAAATCTAATTCTATTGGTCAATTCCCACTGGTCAATATTATGGTCATCCTAGTTATCAATGTCACGTACTTCAATGTTGTTTCCCATTTAACCTAACTGTATAAATACTCATCATCTGTAACATTTTATGACCCGGACCAGGATCCCTAATCCGTAATCCTGATTCTCCTCTGGACTCGGAGCTCGTACTTTCTGGATGCATGTAGAATACATGTTCTACTTCATTTGAAGTCTTCTCATTTTAACTAGTGGAGATTTGGAACAATCTGATTAGAGTAGCCTATCGTGTCGCTGGATCCTCGATCCTCGCTCTCGCTTTCCGATTAAGGTGAACTCGCAATAGTTTCAAGCATATCAAATCGACATGTTGACGTTCATGTGTAACACATCCACTACTTCACTAACTAATTTACCATCCTTACCTCTAATACCTTTTTCCTAACACCAACTTAGCCAGACTCAATACACCTCATATTCACTACCATTCAACAACTTACCTTAATATTACACGAAAAAATTACATCATATATAAAAGCCATCAATCAATCACTGTTAGACCATTCATTAAGAACGTGGAAGCGATGGACGACCGTCTCATCCTGGCATGGGACTCATCAGTAGTGCGTGACCACAACTCCTACACTTCGCAGGATTCGAACCAAGAACCTCTGGTCTTGCGCGCAAACGCCTAAACTCTGGACTACTGGGCTGGCACCCAAGGTATCATCAATGTCTAACTCTGATCAATCTAAGGATTGCGCATGACCTCACCCATTTGTCTTTGGTAGTTATTGCCTACTCTTAACAGGGTTGATGAACTGCACTAGTCACGTCTTCTCATCACTGGAACTCCAAGAATATCCTCACGAAGCTAGTCATCATTTACTTACATACTTACTCCTGCTACATCCCGTTGGAGAATAGGCCACCGACCAGTTTACTCCAACGAACTCTGTCCTGGGCTTCCTTCTCCAGTTATGTCCAATTTTTTTATTCTTCTCATATCTTTCTCTATTTCTTGGTGTAATGTGTTCCTTGACCTTCCTCTTTTCTTTTTGCCCTGAGTGTTCCAAGTGAGGGCTTGACTTGTGACCCAGTTGAGTGATTTTCGTAATGCGACCTATCCACTTCCACCACTTCTTCCGGATTTCCTCCACTGGAGGAATCTGGTTTGTTCTCTCCCACAGTAAGTTGTTGCTGATCGTATCTGGTCAACGCATTCACAGTATCGTGAGTAGACAGCTGTTAATAAACACTTGTATCTTCTGGATGATGGCTTTGGTAGTTATCCATGTTTCCGCTCCATACAGTAGAACTGTCTTAACATTTGTATTAAAAATCCTGATTTTAGTTTTGGTTGAAAGTTGTTTGGAGTTCCAGATATTTTTCAACTGTAGAAATGCAGTTCTTGCTTTGCCAATCCGCACCCTCACATCTGCATCGGATCCACCGTGGTTATCGATGATGCTGCCAAGATATGTAAAGGTGTCAATATCCTCCAAGTCATCTCCGTCAAGAGTGATTTGGTTGGTGCATGTTCTGTTTCATCGGAGAATTTCGCTTTTTCCTTTATGTATGTTGAGACCTGCTGCTGCAGAGGCTGCTGCTACACTGGTCTTCTTCTCTTGCATTTGTTGTTGCATGTGCGATAGAATAGCCAGGTCATCTGTGAAGTCCAGATCGTCCATCTGCATCCTAGCTGTCCATTGGATACCGTACTTCCCTCCAGATGTCGACGTCTTCAAAATCCATTCGACCACCAGGAGAAAGAAAAACGGTGAGAGTAAGCAACCTTGCCTTACACCGGTCTTCACCTCGAACGAGTCTGTTAGCTGTCCTTGGCGTACGATTTTGTAGTTGAATCCGTATGATGTTAACTATTTTCTCAGGCACACCATAGTGTCAAAGAAGCCTCCACAGTGTTTTCCTATCCACACTATCAAATGCTTTCTCGTAGTCAATGAAGTTGATGTAGAGTGGTGAGTTCCATTCAATTGATTGTTCCACAATGATCCTTAATGTAGCGATTGATCCTTCTTCTTCAGTGGGTATAGTCATCACCAGTAAGCATAGAGTACGATTTTTTTTCATTTAAACTTATGCTGATCATTGTTTATTTACACATTTGAAATCATCGATCAATCAATCAACCATTCATTGTTAGACCATCATCATGATCATCATCATTAGAAACCTGAAGTGATGTGATTTCAACGTGTATTATACATAAAAACTTATCTCCATAACTGTCATTGAAAAAAATAACACAAAGAAGTTTATCGGACAAACACAGACAAAAATTCAAATGATCACAATAACTTACTTTCATTGTATCTTTTGTGATAATATGATCAAATTTATAATTTTTTACAATACTACCATTACTAGTATTATTTATTACTGTTTTTCTACGATGTAATCCTGTTGGATTGATTAATCGAATGAATTTTCTATTCTCATCTATTTGAATACAATTTGATGTGGAGTTGGAGGTCACCAGTTGACCTTGATTGGCATGATGATGGTGAAGGTTATTGTTGTTGTTGTGACTAATTTTAACTTGTTGATTAATACAAACAATCACTTTAATCTAGAAAGGGAAAAAAATAATTAGTAATTTTTTTATTAAGAAAAATAAAATTTATAAAATCAGTAATTATTATCAAGAATGTATTATTAGAAGGTGGTCATGTCCAAGACATGGATGGCACCAGTCCACAAGGTCACTGACAATTGAACTAAGTCATGTCGGTGTGTGTAGGTTACCTGGTCGGGGTCCGTGAGACGATAATAACCTATGGTTAGAGAGTTTGAATGATATGGCTTAAAAATTGTTTGCATTGGCGTAGGTGTATTCACTCTTTATTTTCTCTCAAATTCTAATCTTCTGAATTCCATATCACCTTTATCCTTTTCTTTGTAAATTTATTTCACTTCACAAATCATATCTCTGAATCCTAATCTTCTCCATTACCAATGATACTTTTAAAACGTCTATCAGTTTGGGATTTGAATTGACTATTCTGTCTCTCTGTGCTAATCTAAGACATTTCTACTGTATGGAACGGAAACTTGGTGAACTGCCAAAGCCATCATCCTCAAGGTACAAGTGTTTATTAACAGTTGTCTATGCAAAATACTTCAGATCTGTTGGGCAAACATCATTAGTAATAATCTACTATAGGAGAGAACAAACCAGATCCCAGTGGAGGAGGAAATCAGGAAGAAGTTCTGGAAGTGGATCAGACATACATTGAGGAAGGTGCCCAATGGTGTCACAAGACAAGCCCTCTCTTGGAATCCTCAAGGCCAATCGAAAAGAACAAGACCAAAAAACACATTACACAGAGCAATGGAGACGAACATGTGAAGAATGAACACAAATTAAACAGAACTGGAAAGGAAGGTCCGGGACAGAGTAGGTTGAAGAAAAATGCTCGGTGGCCTATGCTCAATCGGCGGGTAACAGGTGTAAGTAAGTAGGTCAGTGCTAATGTGATATGTCAACTTGAACTGATCTACGTAGAAGTACCATGTTCTACATTATAACTGATTGACTAACTAACTCTTAACTAAAGAAAGGAAATTAAAGCTACTTGGCTAAATAACTTTTATGTGTCTACTAATTATATTACTCCTAATCGAGACAAATTATCTGAAAATATTTAGTGAATTTTTTTCAAATGATTATGGGCAATTCATATGGATAGATGATGGCCGGTAGTGGATGGAATCGAGGACATGAGTTTCATTTCATTCGGGACTCCTTTATAGTTGAATGTACTTGCATCTCAAAGTCAGTGTTCGTCACAACACTTAAACGCAGTATGATTCACTTAAAATGCCATCAAGTGATGCACTTAAATACCGATTTCAAATAGCCACTCATCTGTGCAATGTGGTAAGTTTTAATTCATTTCTTCTAATCGGTGTTTGTGACTGCAATCAATCAGTCACTTCAGACATCTCAATTAGTTATGGTTATAGCTTAGTTGTTATATCGAAGCAATCTACACAGGATGTGCATACATCGATGGCACAAGATTCTAACGTCCTAGCTAAGGAAACTTGTTGTGAGATTTGGCACAAGGTTCGAACATTAAAAGCTCCAACATGCAGTTTAGAGTTCGGTTTTAGGAGACCAGGAATACCGTTTACATCAGCGGCGCGAGATGGCAAAGCAATGAAAGAAGTGTTGATCGTGGAGATAAGAGAGTTATTAAGAGGTGTAGGGAGGATTTACTGGTGACTGATTTGGTCTCGTGTGTTGTTATGGGCATCAGGGCGGATCTCACTTCCCTACAGCCCACACGGTGTAATGGTGCTTCTTGAGGAACCTAAAAAAGGAATTGGGTTCTTGCTAGTCTTAGAGACCTAGAAGTGTGATTACAGAGCCCAAGGGACAATTGGCTGAGGCTGGATGCACATAGCATCTTTGTGGGAAGTTTTTAAAGTTTCAGCTTCCTTCTACAAATGGTCTTACCGTTGGAGAAACGGAAATCCGTGGGGCAAAGCGGGGTGTGAGCTTTACTAACCCCTTCCTTTCTTGTGAGGAAGGATGCTGTTTGTTCGAGGGTAACACCTTACCACTGTCACATCCCACTACAGTTAGCAGTACGACTTCATCACCAGTCATCGAGTTGCTGCTTTTAGTCTCACCGTTCTCCAACCGACCTTCCTGGCATGGTAGAACCTACAGGAATATATATCCCAGACAATATAACTCGGTTTGATCATCATGATAGGTAAGCCTGACCACCACGTCAAGGTGACAGCTACGTTCGGGCAAAGTGCCGTATACACTACACTTGTAGAGTAGTGAAAACATTAAAATGATTCCTAAAGTCCTTTCATATAAACTTCAATAATGTAAGGCGTAATTGTGTACACAATACGAACATATAGTGTTCAGCCATTTATTTGCATGTTTGGTAATTCAAGTAGGCGATAGACAGTATTCTCTCGTTTCTGTTCTGGTCTCTAAGTTTCCCAAATACAACTTACTTACTACGTCTGTTACTCCTGATGGAGCATTGGTCGCCGACTAGAGAATTATTTTTCTGGTTAGCTTTTTATTAAGCCAGTCGGATTTCTACTGGATGGGGTCGATAACCCCACATGCCCAACCCTCCCCCTTTATCCGGGCTTGTTACAGGCATTAACCCTAGGAGGGCTTCAAGAGGAACTTTCCCGAAAACAAGATACTCTTGATTCCCTATAGCTCATATCTTTAGCTGTCGATTTCGGAAAACCCCATCTGAGACTCCACTGCATACTAATGATAATCAACCTCGTGCGAAGTATCCATCACACTATATCAGTATAAAAAAACCCTCAATCTTTCACATAATCACTCACAAACCAACCAGCGATAACCTTTCCGAACGTATCACCCACTCTATGATATTGATTTCAACCGATTCCATCAAGATTGTAGATAACAAGGCTTTGATAACAAGTGAAAACTATAATAATACTCGGGTCTGCACTGACTTCTTACAGATGCATAGGATCTTGTTAGAAAAATTCATGTTATCCTCGTCATTCGATATGCTTGAATGCTATTATGAGTTCACCTTAGACGTCGGTAAACGAGAGCGAAGACAAATAATCCAGTGACGCGAAAGGTTACTCTAATCCGAGCATCCCAAGGCCCCACTAAGTAAAGGAAGAAGTCTTAATTCAACGTAGAGTCTGTATTCTACAAGCACACAGAAAATCGAGGTTGACAAGCACACATGCATGATAGAAACGTCCTTGGTAGTGCCACAAAAGTAGCATACTAAAATAATACATCACCCAATGACATTTAAGGATTTCCCGAGTGCGCAATGCAGTCTCAAGGTCAACTGAACATCCACTGCGCGAAAACACATAATGCAAAATTAGAGCCTATATCAAGTGAGTTCTGGCGGTCTAACGACCTCAACAATTAACGAAAGAAATAATCTAACTTAGTATAATATAAATACTACTACAAGAAAGATTTCAAATCATTTCTTTCATTTTTCTCTCCAGTGAACATTGAACATTGAACACGTCACAAAGAAAAAAAACTAACTCACTCATTCACAAATGAACAAAGAGCATTAAAACAAAAAAGGCAGAAGGAGAAAAATAAATCATTTCATATTCTCCACTATCTAGACTAAAAAAAATTCATACTCATAAGCATAAAAATATGATTTCTTTATTTTGTTTAAATCATTCTATTGTTACTGTTGTTGTTTAATTGCATAATAACTAACTATTGAACATTGAACCATATATACATGCATTGAACAATTGAATTCGCTTCTATTTTTTGTTTTAATGCATTGACAAAAAAACAACAGACATGACTCATCCAAGGCTGGGAATGATAGATATGGTAATATTGTTATATATATATGTTTATTTTTTGCCCCTTTTTTTATTTTTTTTTTAAAAATAATGAACAAAGAAGTTATGACATTGAATTTTTTTGTTTTAAAAAACGCAACAAAAAATAAACCTCCTTCTCCTTAATTTTATGCTTTAGTTTTTAAAACTTTCATTCTCATGGTCAATCGTCATCAACATCATCATCATCATCATCATTGGTGGAAAAAGGGGAGAAAATGTATCGTAAACTATTTACTGTTATGAAATAGATTTACTTGAATAAAAATGTAATTGAGAATAATTTCACGCCTGATATTATATCATCATGATAAGCTGTCTTCAAAATATATATTTTTTGAAAGCATTAATCGATCAGTGTTAGGTCACCACTATTAGAAGAAACCTGGAAGCACGGCTGTTTCGTCCTGGTATGCGACTCATCAGTGGCAGTTTGCATCCATCAGTCTTGCATTTCGCAGGATTCGGACCTAGTGCCTTCGGTCTTGCGCCGGTGAACAGACAGACAAAGACAAACAAATACAACGCAGAACTTCGTATGTATGTACATCAATTCAGGTTGCCATGCCGCATCAGCAACAGAGACGCAACTGTCAGTTCAAATGCAACAGTGATAGCATTAATAGAAGTATTAGCAGTAATGGAGAAGATTACGGAGCGAACATATGATTCGAGAAGTATAATAGAGTAAGATAAATTTAGAAGGAGAAAGGTAGAGATTATGAGGAATCCAGAAGGTTAGAAGTAAAAAGAACACAAAGGTTGGATGCACCTGCGCCCTTGCAAACGATTTTGAGCTATGTCGTTCAAGGTGACTTTCGTCTCTCCGACACCAACCAGGTAGTCTACATCTACCAACATGACTCAGTCCAGTTGTCAGTGACTTCATGGATTTGTGCCATGTTTCGGTTTGGCCGCCCCTAGCTTCCTTCCAACATACTCTGACACCACAAAACATAGCTCGTCGAGGTAGTCGGTGGTTAGCCATACGTAACACATGTCCCAACCACCTCAACTGATGAAGTTTCATTACTTCATCTATTGATTTTCCATCCTTACCTAGAATTCCTTTCCTAACGATAGCATTGCTTACTCGGTTGTCCCACGATATACGAGCAATCCTTCGAAGACACCTATGATCGAAAACCAATAACATACGAATATCTTCTACTCTCACTGGCCATGTTTGACAGCCATAAAGTAAGACGGAGCGAACTACTGCGCAGTACACTCGTCCTTTAGTCAGCAAACGGATATCTCACCTTCGCCATAAGTGACGCAGATTGGAAAAAGCCAATCGAGCCTTCTGTATTCGAGCTGAGATTTCATCAGTCACCAGGCCATCGGCACTGACGAGACTCCCTAGATAAGTGAAGCGGTCTACACGTTCGACTACTTCACTCGTTATCACTAGTTCAAGTGCCGATGCAACCCAGTCTTGAAACAACAGTTTGCATTTCGAGGGGGGAAACCGCATCCCGAAAATGCTCGCATTGTTGCTTAGGGTAGTCAGAAGACTCTGCATTTTGTCAGCGTCTTCACCAAGTAGGACAATGTCATCGGCATATTCTAAGTCAATAAGCGAGCCACCTGGTAAAAGGTCTACTCCTGAAAATTCAGACGAGTATAAGGTCATTTCTAGGAGCATGTCTATGATAAAATTAAACAAGAATGGAGAAAGTGGACATCCCTGACGGACACCACTTGAAGTAAAGAATTCCGTTGACAGTTCGCCATAAGCCCTCACCCGACCAGTGGTGTTCGATTAGAGAGCTTGTATAAGGTTAATGTACTTCTTTGGTACACCTTTCAATGACAGACACTGCCACAGAACCTCACGATCCACTGAGTCAGGAGTTCAGGAGTCGTGGATGCGAACTGTTAGTGATGAATCCCATACCAGGACGAAACGACCATCTTTCAGTACTTGAGAGTTTTTTTCCAATCGTGGTCTAACATTTATTGATTCATAATACAAGTTGTTTCACAAGAGTTGGATTATTCAATATAGTATGGGTCAATGAATGAGTGAGTGAATAAATGGGTGAATGAAAGGACGAACGGGAAAATTCTCCTTAAACTACAGTGGAGCTGTTTCAATTAAACCTAAACTACAATAATGTATTGCGTCATTGTGTACACAGTACTGACATATAGTGTTCAGTCATTGAGTTGCATGTTTTTTTAATTCGACATCATTGACAAACAAGTTGGATCAGATGCAGATGTGAAGGCGCGGATCGGCAAATCAAGGGTTGCATTTCTACAATTAAATAATATCTACAGCTCCAGACGATTATCAAACAACACCAGAGTCAAAATTTTCAATACAAATGTCAAGATGGAAACTTGGAAAACATGTAAGCCATCATCCAGAAGACCCGAGTATTCATTAACAGCTGTCTATGCTAAATACTTCGGGTCCGCTAGCCAGACACTGTCACCAAAAACCTACTGTGAGAGGGAGAACAAACCAGATTCCAGTTCAGGGGGAAATCGGGAAGAAGAGGTGGAGCTGGATAAGACACACACTGAGAAAAGCACCTAACTGCGTCACAAGACAAGCCCTCACTTGAAACCTTCAAGGTCGAAGGAAAAGAGGAAGGCCAAGGAACACAATACGCCGAGAAATAGAAAAGGACATGAGAAGAATGAACAAAAAGTTGGACAGAACTGGAAGGGGGAGGCCCAGAACAGAGTAGGTCGTAGAATACTGGTCGGTGGTCTATGCTCCATTGGGGGTAACATGTGTAAGTAGGTAGGTAAGTTGTTAATTCAAATAGGAGATAGACTGAGGATATAGATCAGTGTCGTGGATAAAATGCTTACATATTGATGAAATCATTAAGTCAGTAATCGTGATGACGCTAAGAACTATCATTGATGAAAGTAGTTGAAATATATAGGTAAATCCAAAGCCAGTTTTGCAATACATAACACTATACAACAAGTTAACTGGAAGAAAGTTAACAATGTAAAAAAATATGATGTATTTTCAATTCACAATTTTGTTTTCAAGATGGAAATCGTGAATCAATCATTACAAAACGATGATTAGAAACCTAGAAACACTAGACTTCCATTTCATCCTAGCATAGGACTCACCAGCAGTGTGCATCAACTAGCCCCGAACGTGAGAATCGAACCTAGGAGCTTCGGCCCTGTGTTGACGAACACTTAACCTCTAGACCACTGAGCCGGCCGGCATCCAACAGTATTAATGTCTAACTTTAGTCAGTCCACGATAATGCTTTATAATCATCCACTGTCGTCGGTAGTTACTGCCTACACCCAACACGGCTGAACTCCACTGGTCACCGCTTCTCCCTAGAACTCCGAGAATTTCCTCACGAAGTCAGTCTATGTTTGTAGAGATTGTTGAGTTTCATTGTAATCACGAATCGATCAATCATTTCACAACCCTATAATGACTATTCCAAATCAATAATACACTCGAGTTTAAATCATCGATCATGTAACATATCGAATTAGACCAACGAGAAATAGATCAGACAGAGTTTAGTACATCTTTAGACCGAGGACAGTTCACAGACCCATTCGAAGTGAAAACCGATATCAAATATGATTGCTTACTCTCCTGACAGTTGCCTGGATTATGATGATGTCAACATCTCCGGGGGAAAACAAGGAGTACAGTGGACAACTTGTATGGTGCTTGCTACACGATTGGAACTACTCAACTCACTTATCTCTTCTATCTCATCACATTCAGTAACCAATGGAAATGAAGATAACTTCACTATAGACAACAGAAAGTACCAAGCCACTGGAAAATATGGCGACTTTTATAAACTTGGCCAGCAATGCTGATAAACAAAATAGGGATCTGATTTAGGTGAAGCAATGAAAGCATTTCTAGAATTGAAGAATATCTGTAACTTAAAAACAACTGCCACACAGAATGTAAGTCACAATTCTCAATTCGAATGTCAAAACATACAGGTATTTATAAACAGTTGTCTACACATGATACACATTTAGATCCGTTGGTCAGACAACATCACGAACGACTAGCTGTAGAAGAGAACAAACCAGCTTCCAAATGAGGAAGAAATTACGCTGAGAAATGGGCATAGACTTAAGAAGAATGAATGAACAGTGGACTGGATAAAACTAGGGAAAAGAAGAGCTCAGAACAGAGTAGGTTGGAGATGACTAGTCAAATGGCCTATAATACTCCATTAGTGATAATAATTAATTAATCAATCAATAGCGACGTAGAACTCCGTACGTACGTACGTATATCAGTTCATGTTGCCATAGCACATCAGCACAGAGATATAATTGTCAATTCAAAATTCAATAGTAGTAGAAGTAGATAAGGTATTAGCAGTAGTCGGAGAGGTTAGGATTAAATGTTATTCAACAAGTATAATTCAGTGAGATAAATTTAGAAAGAGGATGATAGAGATTATGAGGAATTCAGAACGTTAGAATTTAAGAGAACACAAACAGTGGATGCATCTGCGCCATTGCAAACGATTTTAAGCCATGTCATTCAAGGTCTCTAACCATTGGTGAATTTCGTCTTGCGGACCCCAACCAGATAGCCTACATCTACCATCATGACTCAGTCCACTTTTCAGTGACTTCATGGATTTGTGCCATGTTTTGGTCTGGCCGCCCCTAACTTTCTTCCAACCTACTCTTACACTACAAAACAAGGCTCACTGAGGCAGTCGGTGGTTAGGCATACGCAGCACATGTCCCAACCACCTCAACTGACAAAGTTTCATTACTTCATCTATTTACCCGTCATCCTTACCTAGAACCCGTTTCCTAATAACAGCATTGCTCACTCGGTTGTCCCATGATCCACGAGCAATGCTTCGGAGGCACCTATGATCGAAAACAAGAAGCCTACAAATATCTTCTACTCTCACTGGCCATGTTTCACAGCCATAAAGTAGGACGGAGCGAACTACTGAGCAGTACACTCGTCCTTTAGACAGCAAACGGATATTAGACCGTAGCTGCTACCTTAACATGGTGGTCGGGCTTGCCTATCGTCATGACCCAACCGAACTATATTGGCTAGAACATATTTTCCTGAAAGTTCTACCATACCAGGCAGGTCGACTGGAGAACAATCAGACTAAAAGCAGCTACTCAAGGTCTGAGAGTGAAGTCGTACTGCTGACTGACTATGGAGGGGTGTGACAGCAGTAAGGTGTTTCCCTCAGACAACCAGTATCTGCAGCGATGCTGCCTTCTCACAAGGAAGGTCAACCCTTGAAATGTCATACTTCACCCTACCTCACGGATTTCCGTCTCCGGTGGTAAGGGTGCCCAACAAAAATCCTTTAATAAAAAGGACGTGCATGACCGACCTCAAGCAGATGTCCGTCGGGCTCTGCGGTCACGCACCAAGGTCTCTAAGACCGACACTAAACTACCTTCTTTTTCAGGTTCCTCAAGAAACACCCTTGCACGGTGTGGGCAGCCAGGAAGTGACTACCGCCCTCATACCCATAACAGCACACGAGACCAAATTGGTCAAAATCAAATCCTTCCTACACCCTGTAATACCTCTCTTATCTCCATGACTAACTCTACTCACATTAGGAATAGTAAGCCTAAGTAAGTAAGTAAGTAAGTAAATAAGTAGATGGATAATATTTCAAATATGTTTCTTTTTTCATTTAAAATAAAAAAAAACACTTAAAATCAAAAAATAACCACTTACTTTTCCCGTGGAATTCACATTGACATTTGATAATAAAGGTCTTATTATAGTTGGCGTTGGCGCCGTCGTCGACATCGACAGTGTTGTACTATTTGAAATACAATTTGTAATAAATCCTAAATAATTTAATATTTCATTTGGTATTATAGGTGGATTAACACGTAATAAATAAGAAAATTTATAACAACGAGTTTGTTGATGACATTGATTTGTATTACAACGACAACAATATTCTGGTGATACATGCGATGATGAGGTAGAGCAGAATGATAAAGTAGGCGGAATCCCATTAGAACATGTTGTTGGCGTATTTGATGAATGTGTTGTACTTTGTTCAAATGTCACTACTGAATGTTTAATCATTTTTTTTTGATTTTGTTTATTCAAACTAGATGAACTGGATGGCGCCGCCGCCGCTGGTGGTGGTGGTGAAGGTGGGTATTTTAAATGTGATGATTGTTCTTTTTTGGATTTCAATGACATTATCATTTAGAATTTTTGCATATTTGATAAATGAATAAACTGTGAAAAAAGGAAAAAAAAGACACACATAAGTGTACACTAAATAACGAAATTGAATATTGAAACATAAGGACAGTTATAGATTAAAACAGTCAGTCAGTCAGTCAGTTAGATGAAACGTAGAACTTTGTACGTAAGTACGTACATCAGTTCATGTTGCCATACCACATCAACACAGAGAAGTAATCGTCAATTCAAATCCAATAGTAGAAGAGGTAGTAAAGGTATTAGAAGTAATCGGAGCGGTTACGATTACAAGATATTATTCAAGAAGTATGATTCGGTGAGAAAAGTTTAGAAAGTCCAAACTAGAGGTGTTGAAGAATCCAAAAGATTAGGATTTGAGAGAACACAAAGAATAAATGCACCTCCGCCATTGTAAACGGTTTTGAGCCATGTCATTCAGTGTATCTAACCATCGATTATTGTCATCTCGCGGACCCCAACCAGGTAGTCGACAATTACAGACATGGCTAAGTCCATTCGTCAGTGATTTCATGGATTTCTGCCATGTTTTGTTTTGGCCGCCCCTAACTTTGTTCTAACCTATTCCCACACTACAAAACATGGCTCGACGAGGCAGTCGGTGTTTAGGCATACGTAACACATATCTCAACTACCTCAACTGATGAAGTTTCATTACTTCATCTATTGATCTGCCATCCTTACCTATCACCCGTTTCCTAATAACAGCGTTGCTCACTCAGGTGTCCCATGATATATGAGCAATGCTTCGAAGACATCTATGATCGAAAACCAGTAGTAACCTATGAATATCTTCTACTCTCATTGACCATGTTTCACCACAGCCATAAAGTAAGCCTTTATCAATAAAATTATGTCTATCTATCTATCTATTCATGATTTTCAAATATACAGTTATGTCATTGAAAAGCATATTGTATAAATATATTTAATGTAGTATGTAAGCTATTTTTAAAATTTCAGTATTCAAAATACATATATTTATTCAAAACACACATCGTAAGCATAACATGTTCAATCTTCAATGTTCAATATATGTTTCATACTTCTTCATCATTTCAATATTATTATTTTTATTTAACAAAATAGAATGACAGACAATTCGATACAGATGAGGTTATTAAAAAAATTTTCTCTCTCGAATAAAGTAATAATTTATTCAAATATAAAATGTAATCATATAAACCAATTTGTTTTACTACTACATACATGCATAGTTTCACGTGTGTGTGTGTGTATGACAAGACCTATTTACTTATTTATCCTTTCCTTTGTTCAATTTTCAATCTGATTGTTACATTGATTGTTTGTTGGGTTTGTGTGTTATAACAAGTTATACATAACATGTAGTGTAATGTAATGTAACTAACTATTCAAAATTCAATAATATTGACATTTGTTTTAAACAACAACAAAAAATATAACAAAACAAAATGATCAGTAATTATTTATGCATCAAGTTGAAATGATATTGTTACATAATAATAATAATAATCTTATGAAAATATAAAATAAAATTTTGGGGCAGAGTTTTGGAGGTTTTGCGTTTTTTTTTACACACATTTGAAATCATTAATCAATCAATCAGTGATTGTTAGACCATCACCATTAGAGTAAACCTGGAAGCACTGGATGGTCGTTTCGTCCTGGTATGGGACTCACCGTTGGATGCTGGCTCAGTGGTCCGATGGTAAGGTGTTCGCCTACAATGCCAAAGGTCTCGGGTTCGAATCCTGTGAGGAGCAGGAGTCATGGATGCGCACTGCTGATGAGTCCCATACCAGGACGAAGCGGACGTCCAGTGCCGTCCAGTGAATAATGTGGTAGGGAGGTAATTGAAATGGATTAGAATATCAGAGCAATTATATCAACTATCCGATTCAGGTGTATCTGTTTTTTTTTATGGTCAACGTCAAACATGGCCGGTAAGAGTTGACGATATTCGTCGGTTACTAGTGTTCGACAATAGATGTCTTCAAAGCATTGCTTGTATATCCTAGAACGACCAAGTAAGCAATGCTGTTATTAGGAAAAGGGTACTAGGTAAGGATCGCAGGTCAACAGATGAAGTATTAAAACTTCATCAGTTGAAATGGTTGGGACATGTGTTGCGTAAGCCTAACCACCGACTACTTTGACACGTACTTTCATCTGATGTAGAAGAAAGCTAAAAGAAAACTAGGGGCGTCTAAATTAAAACATGGCACACATCCATGAAGTCATTGATAAGTGGACTGAGTCATATTGTTAGGTGTCGACTACCTTGCTTAGGTCCGCGATACAGTGGTAACCAATGGTTAGAGACCTTGAATGACATGGCTCAAAATTGTTAGCAATGGCGTAGGTGCATCCACTCTGTGTGTTCTCTGAAATTCTAAACCTCTGAATTCCTCATCACCTCTATCTTTCTCTTTCTAAATTTATCTCACTGGAATATACTTCTCGAATCATATCTTCTAATCCTCATCTTCCCCGATTACTGCTAATACTTCTACTATCTCTACCACAATCAGATTTGAACTGATAGTTGCATCTCTGTGCTAATGCGGTATGGCGGCTCTGGGCCGGCATCCGACGGCGTTCGCGCACAATACCGAAGGTCCCGGGTTCGAATCCTGCGAGGTGCAGGAGTCGTAGATGCGAACTGCTGATGAGTCTCGTACCAGGACGAAACAGCCGTCCAGTGCATGAAGGTTTCTAACAATGATTGATCGATGATTTCAAAAGTGTAAGAACACTAATCTCCATAACTCTAATTGAAAAGACTAATGTTAGACCACTATTAGAAATTCAGAAAACTAGTGGAAGTCGCTAATGGAAGTCGAATCAACCAGCTTCGGTTACACACCGGCAAACGTCTAACCTCTAGACTACTTAACCCAACAATGATCAACTCATGATGTCAACGTTTATTACATTATTACTTTGTGGTATACTCCTCTTGAAGCCCTTCCACTGGTTACTGCCTGTCTCAGGCCCGGATAAAGGAAGAGGGTTGGGCATATGATTAGAGACCCCGTAGAAAACTAACTCAGTTGTAAAGAACGCTAACCAGAAAGTAAATACACGTTTAATCTCAATTCACACAGAATGATGATATCGTCTAATTTTGATAATTTTAGAAAAAATTGTTACAATTGTTACTTTTCGGTCAAGTTGTATGGATTACATTTTTCAGTTATTCAGTAACACACTATTCAGTCAATTATTTATTTAAACAGATTTTAAATAAACTGTGTCAATTATAGAATAATAATAATAATAATTTATAATTTAAATAAACAATGTCATTTTCAAATTTTGATCAATATTCAATGACATTAAATGCAAAAAAAAAATTGAACTATTGAACAAAAATTCAAATTTGATGAAGTCACTAAGTTCCCTTTCATTATTTTAAACAAATGAACTAGGTATTAGTTTTCGTGTATTTAAATTCAGTAATCTATTATGGCCGAAAATAAACCAGATTCCAGATGAGGAAGTAACTAAGACAATGAGTTTGAAGTGGATAGGACACAGACACTGGGGAAAACACCCAACCACATCACGAGTCAGGTACTAAATATGAAATCCTCAAAGTCAAAGGAAAAGACCAAAAGGCACATGACATCGACAATTGGAGGTAGACGTCAAAAGAATGAATAGCACTTGGGAAAAACTGAAACGGTGAGTCTAGAACATAGTTGGTCAGAGATTCCTAGTCAGTGGCATATACTCTCTGTACAAGAGTTAACAAGCGTAAGTAAGTAAGTAATTTAAATTCAAAGTTTATTTAATTTATATTCTTGGTTAACCAACAAGCCTGCTGTACATGCACTCCACTGCCTTTTAGGCAACACAAGGATCCTCACTAAAGTCAAATTTGCGATCACCCCTTCCCCGTACGGGAAGTACATGTTGTCTAGATTGGTCTGCCGACAAGTGGACGTCCAAAAAGCACGTATACGAGCAGTGGCCCCTGTTCGTGCACTTATTAATCAACTCGATCTCTCCAACCAATCCACTACCCACAATCCCCAATCGGCAAGGGCGGCAAGACGGGCTTTCCCAGCTAGACCTGACGCCCCGAACGGATTACCGAGCCACCCAGCAGAGTGCACTAACCAGCAGCCGTTCCAACTGTCTGGCCTCCAACTGCCTTGAGCCGATACAATCGATCGGAGCCTAACACTGATGTCAATGAAATTCACTATCTCTCTCCCTCTCTCTTCCATTCTAATCAGTAGAGTTACTTAAAAAAATGTGTTAAAATCGAAATAAGATAAAATTAACCCACTATTTATTTAAGAAAAAGAAACTAAGAGATGGCTGAGAAGAAACATACACACCTACACATAAACACACTAATATACTCATCTGTTGACATGTTCCATTTACAAAACGTGTTCCAAAATGGTTGACAGGTAGAGAAAAATTGTTACTATTATGATTATCTGATGAGAAACATGCGAATTGATAAAGTTGTACATAAATCAAATAGAGTCTTATCTATATATATAGAAGAACAAAAAATAAAAATGATCTTCCTTTTATCAATAGTTACCATGGTAACAAGTGTATATAGTGTAATGGACGGCCACATAGTGTTATTTTATTTGTGGTGGGAATGGCAATTTGCCTTAAGGTGGAAGAAAATGATTTCTATCACTACTCTTCATCATAGAAACATTATTCACATGTTTCCACTTGTCATGAATGCACTTGTTAATAAATAATAGTTGCCATGGGGGTGGTAGTGGTGGTGGTGACGGTTGATCTATCATAATAATCGTAATAAATCTGTTTCAATTGTCCTGACATTACAACGGAGTGTATACAAATGACAGGTGTATGTGGAGTGATTACAGTTTGTAGATATATGTATTTTGGGCAGAGTTTTGGAGGTTTTGTGTTTTTAGACCATCATTAGAAACCTTCAAGCACTGGACGGCCGTTTCGTAGTCCTGGTATGGGACTCATCAGAGGCTGCGCGCATCTACGACTCCTGCT